AGAAAAAAATGAAGATAACACATCAGAAGACGCATCTAATAAACCCGATCAGGACCAAAATTTTACAGAAACAGGAGAAATCAAATCAAGAAATCAAATAGAGATTACAAACGAAAGTAACGAAGACAGTGTTTTGGTAGAAACAAAAATTGAAGATGGAAATGAAAAAATGTCGACAATAAGTGAACTTGATGTACCGGAAAATGATAAAGAAACTTCAAGCGAAAATGAAGATAATGCTTTGCAGAAGCAAATCAATATCCAAAAGCGAAAAAGGTAATTACACAAAATGGAAACCAAATATTACACAGTGAACAAAACATCAAAATGAAGATAGGAAAAGAATCAATTGTACTGGTGTATGAAAAGGACTTTAAAAGATGAAAAGAAAATGGCCAAAATAAAACAAATTCAGAAGAAGAATCTTCGAGTTCCCGAAGTGATAATGAATATAAAGATGATAACCATAAAGAAAAAGTCACACCAGAAAATAATGATCAGGCTGAATCTAAAAGAATATCACACAGGGAAAAAAATATTTCACAACAGACTACAGAAACAGAAAATCATACCAAAGGAGCGACTCCTACGACGTCTGAGGAATTTTAAATCTAGCAAGAGAGAGGAATACTTGAATCATTCGACAGAGCCAAACGAATCCCATTCAAGCCACATTATCATGGAAGTAACCAGCGTCGTTATAAAAACCGTGGAAGACTTACTATACGCTCATAGGAATACTTCTAGACATTACGCTCCAAGAACTACAGTCGATCTGAACGATACAGAGATATTATTAACCCCGAAACCCAAGTTTGGTAAAATGGGAAGAACGATGGCTGATCACGCAGGAGGCAGAACTCAACACACAATTTTACATTGTCTTTTATAGGTACTGTTTTTGATTTGCTTTTTGTTATTTTGTTTTGATTTTGTTATATTATGTCAAATTTATTTTGTCCTTCGGCGATTCGTTATTGTATTACTTTTCAAAAATAAAATGCTTATATATGTTTTTTAAAAACATCTTGACTTTAATGAATAATTCATATACTTACACATAGCAACAACAAAAAATATACATATGAAAATCGTTGTGCTTTTAAAATCAACTAACCGAATTTACTCACAGTTACATATAATACTATAAAACGTACTTCCATATGTCTCAGTCCGTTTGTACGCTTATAATTCGAGAAATGCTAGTGAACTAGTGAATTGTCTATTACATAGAAGTGTGTTATTTGACCAATTCTTAATATACACAAATTTTGCCCACGGCTTCGCTCACGTGAACATGGAACAAATTCTTAACTTTATATTGGTAATAGCAATGACAGGGAGGATCAAATCAACACCGCTTCGGATTGGAATCACATTGCAAGCATGGGATGGATATCAAGAGTAGAAGTGAAATAAAAACTAGTTTAACGGCAGTGGGTGTGTTGTCATTATAAAATATAGGTTGAAAACTGAAATGGGAGTCAAAGTGCGATCTGCAATCGGATCGAGATTGAGATGGGATCGGGATCAAGATCAAGATCAAGATGATCGGTATCAAGATCGACGGATTGGGGAAAAATCAAGATCAAGATGGGGATCCGAATAAAGATCGAGATGGGGATCGAGATCAAGCTCGAGATGGGAATAGGAATCCAGATCAAGATCGAGATCGGAATCGAGATAGATCGAGATCAAGATCGAGATGATCTGTATCAAGATCGTTGGGGAACAGAATCAAGAGCTCAAGATGGGGATCCGGATCAAGATCGAGAGAGGATCGGTTCCGAAAGCGGGACAGGCATCGGCGTCGTAGGTGACATCGTAATCGGTCGTATGAAAAAATGAATCGTCTGATGCCCACGCGGAAGCAAGTAGGTAAACAATAGCAAAGTGAACATTACGTTTGATTACACATATTATTGTTGTAATTCTTTGTTAATTTCTGTCCAGTGTCCGGTTCGTATTTTACAAATATGGAATATGTGTATGTCGAAAACTTGTGAGCAGATCATTTTCAAACAATTTTCATTGAAAGTTCTACTATTATGATTTATTTCTAGATTATGGAAACGTACGGTTGAAAGGTTTGATACGTTTTTTTTTTTCATGTTGAAAATCCGATTTATGTTGAAAGCCCGAAAAAATTTTCCCCTAATAATTTTTAAGGAGAAATAAGAAGTACTTTATCTATATGGAAATATACTTTAATTAATCTTTGTTAGTTATTTGTATGGCAGTTCATTGAAGACGCTTTCCGGCATGATCATCAAAATCAACTAAGCAATGGAAGAATTATAACTATAACGGCAGTGCGACGGCGGATCCATCATTGATAAGAACGACACTCGAAATTAGTAAAACGGTTTAATGACCACATGTGAACGCGCATACATATTATTATTTTAAAGAAGACACCTGAATATTATAAATTACATTAAATTTTAACAGTAACAGTGCGTCATGGCGCGCGGCGGTCGGCTTTAACGGATCCCGAATCGGATTAAGCCGAAGTATCCCGAAGCGTGTATCAACGGATTTATTATTTAAATGTAATTATATTAATGACGTATTTCAAGTGTAATTTCATTACCTACGAAATAAAGATATTTTTGATTTGATTTGATTAAAAGAAATAAAGGCGCGCGCTACATAACTAATGAACCGATGGAAAGGCATTACAAAATATATGGATTCCGTTTTTCGCCCTTAACTGCTGAACGTGAATATAGAGAGAGCGTGGCTTTTCTCTATTTTAACGGTCCGTAATTTTATATGTCAAAAGTAATGCAAAAATTGTTGAAAGCTGAAGCGATCACGCCCGTAAAACTGATCCATAGTCAAAAATTGTGAACACCATCATTACAGGAGGATGATTATTATTTAATAAGATTATAAAAGCATATTTATCATCTTCATTAAGTGGACTTCCCGATCAAAATAAAATCTTTAAGACATACGAAAATCTAAGTGATTTTGTCTAAAATAAAATTCACAATTTTAACATATTTTTTTAAACAAGATAAATAAGATTTATCCCTTTTCGTTCTGAGTATCACACTCGAAAGTACTTTAGCAAAAATTCTGAAAGATAAGAAAATAACTAATCGTAACAAAAATACAACCTTCAAGTAGAACACTTGGTCATTACATAAGGAAGTACCACATCATTTCTTCTGTTAAGGTACTTTAATGAATACTTTTAATCATTTTTATTCTCTAAAAATAATAATGATTAAAAACGTTGTTAAATTTATAAGTACGTTCACAGGAAACTTTAGGTTAAGTCGATGCATAAGCTTCCGCAGAACTTTCAACACTAATAGCATTATCGAGTTCCATTACTTTATTAAAAGGAAATTTACTGAGCTCTGTACCTATATAGAGAATCAATAGTAACTGATCTTAATAACTGCATTTACTACAAAATTCGCGAAAAATGTTAATAATGTTTACAAATCGGTCGATTACATTTAAGGGGCTCTGTGTGGTCAATAAAGTCCCTGTAGCTCATCCTCACAAAACCTCAGAAAATATCATTATTCGACAATTACAGGACAAAAAAGGATGTTACGATATTCTCAATCATTTGGAAATAACTAGCTCGACTTCTCATCGGGTCTTTTATTTTTGTTATAATTTTATATTTAATTATCGTTGTATAATTTAAATTTGACAAGAACAAACCTTTGAGTTCCTTATTCGTTCTTTTAGAGAGAAAACTGCCTTCCGTTGATCCGAACGAGACGATATTTTTAACGTTTTTACAATTATCAATATAATATCGATTTTTTTCATATGTTTCGATGAATATTTTTATTGTTTCACTTTGAGTAGTTCTTAAGCTCTATATAATGGCATCCGATTCAACGTTCTACTTAAACACATTCTCTCCTGCTACATTAATTTATAATTTTACGCAACGCAAATTAACAACTACCCCGATGACGTCACGGGCAACACAAACGTTGCTCGGTAAATACGTACATACATGCTCTATCCATTATGACCTAAACCGTTTAAATTACATTCGAAGTAATCAGCGATTCTTAAATATCCGACCATATTTTGTAACACAAATTTGACCGGACTGTACTTAACGGACGAACAGATGTTTTACGTGCAAAAAGCTCGCCCTGTCAAAGCCACGTTTAATTCATCCACGCGAACTCAATAATCTGAGATATCAACAAACCTGGTTAGGCGTATTCAATTTACGAAATCCTTAAACTGACCAAATAAAAAACAAAGCGGGTAATACGAATCGGCCAAGCATGAAAAGGTTACTGTACTATAAACCAACGCATTACCCGTCAATAAAATTAAGTAAAATATTTCCCCTTTCACGAACAATTTGCTTTATCTGTACGAATTTAAAGAGTTAGAATTTTGTTTAGCATACGTACTAAATCACAACTGTTTTGTCTAATAGATCCGGAGATAATAGGCTTTGACACATAGACATACAGACAGAACGATGATTCTATACGAGTTCCAAGTTTTTCATCATTTGTATGCAATTCTAAAAAAGAACAAATACATCCAAAACAAAAACAGGGGCGTCCCATTTTACAGGCTAATACTAACCGTCTGCAAAAGCAAATTACCGTATATACACGTCCACGTCGCACGCGCCTTTCTTATTTGGTAGTGTAGAAATATTTAATAGTGATATTTTTTTTATCGAACAGATTGGACTTTACAACTTTTTTCGAAGTAATTTATTTGTATCAAAGTAAAAGAGAGGTGTCGTGGAACAACCGATTGGAAGGAAGTTCCATTCGTTCTATGTTATAATGAACGCTTTTTAACATCCTAAATTAAAAAATTGACGCCTAATAAATAAAAGGCGAAATGAGAAAAAAAATAATGAAAAATGATTAAATCAAATGAAAAGCAAAAAGAAAACCGTGCATCTATTTATGTACGCAGATAAATAGTCGAAATTCTTTGGCGTAAATAAAAAGAATGCAACAGTAAAAAGTTTATGTCGAACGGTGTTCCAGGCGGTCACCCATCCAACTACTGACCGCGCTCGATACTGCTTAACTTCGTTGTTTGAATGACAACTGGTCTATTCAACATAGTATGGCGTTGGCGGCGTAAAAGACACGACTACGAGGAGCTTTTGAAATGTTAGCTGTAACCAAAGTGTCCTGACGGTACTAACGGACGGACAGACAGGCACTTAAATGACTTTGTTTTGTTACGAAATGTTAATAACTTTTAATAATTTCAATATTACAAAATTGTCAATTTTTATAAAAATGTCTTGCGATACTCAATTTGATTATGTGGAAAAATTTGCGAGAAAGCGAGTGCATTTAGTATTTTATATTTAGATGTCTATAATGGAGGGATAATTTTTACCTACCAGTTCCTTCAAAACCGATCAAAAAGCAAAAATCACCACTCTTTTAAATGAATCCCTTTAATTCAAGTCGTACCTAATTTAGAACATTACATACATTATGTATTTTAAGTTAAATACCATAACTCCTACAGTCGACTGCAATTAGCATATCGGGCGACGGGGCCTCCCGACCTAATCCCCGGAGCCGACTGTTAGACCCAATTTACATTTTCACAAGTTTCGGTTAAGTACTGTTAAGTTTAAAGTCTCGCCCGTATTTGCTGGGAATCCTTCGCAAATTGCGCTTTGTTTGTTAATTTTAGAGACTTTCAGCTCGGAGGTGAGCTTTCAGTCACTGAAAAATATGAAACTAAAACAATTTATTCATAAGACGCAAACCAGAAAAACGAATATTTAACAAATATTGTAAAACGAATATTGCATGAAAACATGCAATATTCGTTATACAATATTATATCTATCGAAAGTATTTCCTATACTGAAATAAATGCATCAGTAGTTTCACAAATATAGAGGACTTTGCAAAGCCGACAGTAATTCTGTCCCCGCGTCTCTATTTACGAAAAGAGCAAAAGATGAAAACATTTGCAATTCAGTAATATCGCGTCATTTTCGCTAAAATATTACATTAATGTACATATAATAGTAAATAGGGAAGTCATTTTATCATTGAGTTATGTAACTTATTACATGTGATCGCATCTGCACTTGCTTTTCCAAAGCCCGTGTTCATTTATCCCAATACAATATTTACCACCGACCAATACCCGTAGTGTTCATTCTCATATACTTTTATCTACTACACAGCCATAATCCGTGGGTTCTTATGCTAATTTATCCCAATAAGCAATATGTACCACACACCAAAAATTATCGTGAGTACCTAGTGGTACTCGTGCTCATTAACCCTATCATACAGTCACCGTACAATCATACACCGTAGGTACTGCAGCCAGCGCCACAGAGCTGGCGATTCTGTGTGATGTTTAGATATTAGTACGATTTCACTAAAAATATTAATATTGTTCCGAGATGAGTGTTTGTTTTATAATGACGTCGCGTCATCGATCCGCGTACGGGTAACAAGGGTAACATTTGAAAACATGCATTGAACATTTGATTTATGTAAGTCGCAAGTATAACATGTCTGAAGTATCCGAGGGCGTACGCAGAGATTCAGGCAGGGTATGCAAAGCTTAGAAAAGCTTGGCAGTTTCAGCATTTTTTCGGTTAAGCAAGGTATACAGATACTTACCGTCGCGTCGGCGGGCCACCAACCGAAACAATGCTGAAATCTGTAAGTTTTTTTAGCTTTGCATAGTGTATCTGAATCTCTGTGCACGCCCCTAGAGTAGCAATGTAAAAAAAAAAAAAAAACAATGATTTTTTGTATTTAGTATCATTAAGGCACTATGTTTCGTCTAGTTACTCATATAATTATACTTGTATATGATATATGAGGATAGATGTTCTCTTTCAGGGCCTTACTTAATAATAAAAGATAACTTTTCTGTACCTGTTTTAGTTAAAACAAACTATGTTAAAAAAGACCTTTAATTACATTTAAACGTTTACAAAATTTCGCTTAATCAAGATATTAAAATGCAGACTTTTTGTAAGTTAACATATCATATGACAGATAATATAACCAAAAAGAAATTTGGATAGAAACTTTATAGCGTATTCTGTTGTCACATCACACTCTACGCAAAAGCTTTTAATAAATCATCAAAAATATGGATCGCTTTCCGTTTCCATATTACTAGAAAAATATTTACACTTATAATTTACCATAACCTTCGGCAGCCTCCTGCGTTTCACAACTATTTGTTCGTAGTGAATTTCAATAAAAAAAAAATCCCTTTAACCATTTTATATATCGACTCGCTATTGCTGAAGTAGGATAAACGTTTAAATAGCCTGATTTTGAAGAAAATAAAATAAATATCATGGCTATCGTTTTCTGGTAATGTGGGGTGCAGAGCGTGTGTAAAAGACAAAGCACTTGTAAAAGGAAAAGATTCAATCCCTCGTACGCGCTGCATGCCCGTGCGAGTCTCGTCAGCGTCTTCCGGCATTCCCGGGCGGGCGCGCGGGCGCAGGCCGGTCCGAGATAAAACATAATACACCGTTTTCTCGACAAAGTTTCGACGTAGCGCACGGAATGCGAATGCATCTTAATACGAGGCGCCGCGTTTGAGCCACGAAAGAGGAACGCTACGGAAAACTGTTGTGCATATTTTAAAGTGAAATTTACTCGGGCATCGCGCGCAGCCCGGCGGCGGCGGGGCGGGCGGCTACGCATTCCCGCCGCGTGTTTGCAATAAATTCAAATTTTAAACCCTTTCCCGCCGTTCGGTGTGATAAGCTTCCGATATTAAGAACGCTTTTATAATATTTCAATACGATCTTACAATATTCTCGTATAAATTGCGCGAATGCTCCGCCTGCTACAATGGAAGCGCCTGATAGAAATTTTACGCAAGCTGCAGCGTCGGATGCTGGAAAGTTATTCGATAAGATCAATTGTAGCCTGCACATTGTAAAAAAATAAACAAAACTTTCACTTTTTTCACCATTTAGATGAAACACCTTTCCAGAAAAGAAAGTATCTAATTGTCTACAATGTAGATGTATTATAATGGATTGAAACAATGAAGATTTTTCGGTATCTTGAAACTTTTCTGTATTGCGTAAATTCATCAGGAATAGTACAAAAGAGGGAAGCTCTGAATATTTGGTCTTCATTATCTAATTATTTGACCATAATTGACATGATTTTTGTTTTTGGAGTTTTTGCTATTTGTAATATTTTAATAAAACTAAATATTAGGAGCACAAATAAGTTTCCGCCGTTTTGAAGGAAATGGCATGACACGAGGCTTACGTTAAAATTCGCAGATGATAACTGGCTTTAAAAATTAGGTTACTCATTCAAGAACAACATAACCTTATCGTATTATTAAGTTCACATTAGCATCATATATTTTTTTTTCCAAAATGTCTAAATTTGAGCCAAATAAGCGTAATTTGCGGGAACTTTTAATTTACTTCTTTAATTTAAAAAGAATCTGCAGCTGAGGCACATCCATTGCTCGTAGAAGCATATAATGAGGCTGCGTTGAGTGAGGGACCATGTCTGAGTGGTTTCAAAAGTCTAAAAACGGTGATTTTGACGTAGAAGATAAAGATCTCGGTGGAAGGCCAAAAATTTATGAGGATGCAGAATTGGAGGAATTATTGGAGAAAGATTCGTCTCAAACACAAAAGGAACTTGCGCTTACTTTAGAAGTCACTCAACAAGCAGCCTCGTATCGTGTAAAATCGTTAGGAATGATTCATAAACAAGGTAATCGGGTTCCATACGAATTAAAGCCGAGAGATGTTGAACGCCGATTATGCAAGAGTGAAATGCTGCTAGCTAGGCACAAAAAAAAATTTTTATATCGAATCATCACTGGTTATGAAAAGTGGATACATTATGATTATTCAAAAAAAGAAACTCATGGAGACTACCTGGCCACGCGTCAACATCCACAGCAAAACCGAATATTCATGGAAAAACTCATGCTGTTATATTTGGTGGAATCAGCTGGGTGTCGAGTTGCTTAATCTAAACGAAACAATCATTGGAACTCTATACCGAACACAATTGAAAAGATTGAGCCGAGCTCTGAAGGAAAACGCCCTCAATACTACTCGACACGACAAAATTATTCTTCTACATGATGATGCTCGCCGGCATGTAGCGTTTCCGGTGAAAAACTATTTGAAAACACTTGATTGGGAAGTACTACCCCACCCGCCGTATTCACCAGACATTGCGCCGTTCGACTATCATCTGTTCTGGTCAACGGCACGTGCTCTGTCAGAACAGAACATCATATGAAGATACCAAAAATTGGGTTGATCCGTGGATAGTCCTCAAAAGATAAGGAGTTCTTCAAATTTGGAATCCTTTCACAATAAATGTTATTTTATTGACAGTGGAAACTTATTTGTAATCCTAATATTTAAATAGATTATTTTGTTTTCTAAAACTATTCTCCGTACATTGCCTTATACCATAAATTCCATGTTGTAAGTTTTTTGCAGTGTCAGTACGCACCAAGCTGTGAAACGTTATATAGTTTAAGGAAAATGTAATAATTCTAAGAAAATTGTCAGTCTCAATAAAAAAAAATGTCATCTAACGTCAATTGAAACAATAATTTTTTTTTCTGAACGACACTGTTTTATTTAAATTATGTCTATTTCAAACTAAAGATTCCTTAAACAATAACATATGACATATATAGATAGTTGTGGTGTTTTGACAACGTTTAGACGTTTTGTGTTTTGATGCAACTCACTGTTACTACGTATCTAGACTCTAAGATGAGACAAAGGATGAGAAAAATGTATATTCCTGCTTTGAAACTTCAAGCACTTTAAAAATCTTACAACAAAAACGATCGTTAGTTAAAGTCAAGATATGCTATATCTATGAAAAGACATGATTTTTGTGTATTAACGACGTCCTCTGTTAGAAAGTGTCGGCCAAAGTAAAAAAATATTGGGTATACACTAGGAAGCAGGCGCGAGAGTCCGCTAATAAATTACAAATAGCAATCGCTTTTCAACTCCGACGCACAGACAGATATTTCTCAGGTTCGGAAGTGTGAAAATCTTACCATCTTAAGGTCTTTATAGGACCGCCGAGCGACCGGGTGAGTTTGG